ACCCGAGTAGGGTGCTTCTCTGCTGAGAGCATTAACTGAAGCAAATTACTTTGGATTGTTCTTTTGCACACTGCTACCATTTCTAGCCCTCACCTAGCATTTGTTACAGCTGGAGGACCTGGTGGAGAAAAGAGAGAAAAGGATAAATGAGGAATCCTTAGAGATAAGAAAACTGTCAGTCAATCACATGCAAATGTGCCCTTCTTTGAAATTGGAAACCCATCAGGTGCAGAAACAGCTATTTTTCAGGCCATTTCTGGAGGAATGCTGATGTGGGAGGCTGCTCAAGCAGACTGGTACTCTGAGGTTCCTGCTCCTTTTCCTTTTAAATCACAGCATTTCTATCTGAATGGCTCACCTGCTTTGGTGGAGGACACAGAGACCCTGGCCTGAGAGGTGAGCACTCAGGGACAAGTACTAGCTCTGCCTCTGCCTACTGTGTGTCTTGGAGAAAAGTTCCCTAGCCTCTCTGAGCCTCAGATTCCATATCTATGAAATGGAATCAATTTCAACTTCATGAGGAATAAATTCAATCATATAAAGACCAGGAGAGACCCTGGGACATAATAGACACTCACAAGATCATTTAAAAAGATTCACTTGCCCATTGAAGAAACCCAAATAATCTCCTGTCTAAATGCAGGATGATTTAGAAAACTGTCAGCTAGGCAGAGTGGGGTCTCAGCCTTTTTTCTCCACATTCCTGAAGTGCTGAGTATGACAGGGCACTCAGAAAGTTTGCTTCCAGGACATGTAGGAAGGGGCCTTCCTCTAACTGCCAGATCCTGGTAGCGAATGAACAGAATCCAAACCAGTTAACCTGGATCAATATAGCCTGCCTTGAGCCAGTCTATCGCTTATTAACCAGTCAGGATATTCAGTGGACACAATCAGCCTACAAGTGATATTGATTTATGCCCTGCCTCATTCCTGAAAGGATTAGAAATAGCTTATGAGAAAATGTAAAATACATTGAAAAACATAAACAGATAAATGCCTGGAAAGACCAGAAGCTCACAACAAACTGAGTTAGAATGTAATTATGTAGGCCTAAGTCTTTCACAGTTCTTAAAAGTGAACCTGTAGACTTGGCTCTGAGCTTCCTGGTTGGCTCGGTAAAAAAGAAACATACATGGTTTTAGAAATGAGATTCACATTTCCTGTGTGGAAATGTCCTACTGATTCCTCAGGATAGCAAGGCTTTCTCTGACTGGCAGCTAAGTTTGAAAGACATTTCTTATACAGTTCTTCCTAAATGTGTCACTAAGGGAGTCAGTGAACAACCATCTCAAAGACATCCCTTTAGAATACAGTCGAAGATATCACAGGGCTCTTTTTATAACTTAGACCATATGTGGGCAAAGCACTAATGTACAGTTCAAAGGTATAAAGAGTGAGGGTGGGTTACATTAAGTGGCATTACCTACCACTTCTTGTCGGGCTGTCTTCATCTATGAATAAAACCAGGAATGTCCAACCAAAATTAATGGAAACAATCAGTCCTAGCAACTGGTACACCATCCGATCTGCAACCTATACAACTATGAGACCAGAAGAACTAGATGGTGCCCGGCTACCACTGTCATCCACTTGGAAGGGATGTAGGAGATCCTGGATAGAGAGGGAGAACAATGTGGAACAAAACTCAAAATCATTTGGGGGCAAAAAAAAAAAAAAAAGGTGGGGACCAGGTTTGCTGGTCCAATAGAGCCTGGTGGAACCACTGAGACTATGGCCCCAAACTGCCCTTCAGGTCTAGAATTGAACCCACACCTGTGGTTTCCAGCCAAACAAAGTACAGGCATGTGAGTTAAACATTTACCTCAAGTAGACACACGCCCTGGAGAGAACAATCATGGGAGAAGTAAGGGCTGCTTATGCACAGGGAGACAGCTCAGGGGGCAGGAGAGTATAGAGGGATGGACACTGGGAAGAGGTAACTATGGGCAGGAAGTGGGAGGGGAGCTGTTGCATTGTGGTAAATTTTGGTCAATGACATGAGTCAAAGTATATGTGAACTGCTGTATGGAAAGTGAATTTACTCTGTAAATCTTCACCCAAATCAAAATAAAATTAAAGAAAAAAAAAAAATAGGAATGTCCTTGTAAAAAATCCTCCATACATGTAATGTCTCTCAAGCAAGTTTTTGATAAAAATTGAGTGATAGACAATCTGAGGTTGAGATTATATTCTCTGGCAAAGGCCTAGAGTATAGGTTTGCTGGTTGCTGCTTAAGATTTAGAGATGAGCAGAACACGCAGTCTTCTGCAAGAACATCCATCATGTGGCAGCACATTCTCGCCAGTGACATTCAACAAGCTTGTAGGCAGAAATTGGCCACATGACTTCCAAGCTCAACGTGGCCAACTATTGGGATGATGACTAAATGAAGGACCTAGCTGCCCTGGGTTTAGATCTGGCTTTGCTGCCCAAAGCTTGCAGAGCTATTCTTTCTCAATCTTGCTTGCTTCTTCTTGTAAGACAAGGATGTCACAATGAGCTGTTACCAGATTATAATAAGGATCAGAAAGAGACCATGTGTATAAAAGGCCCTTGCACACAGTGGGCTCACAACAAATACTTAATAGCACAAAATTGTGGCAAAGGCTTAACAGAGTAGATACCAAAACAAAAACAAAAACAAAAAACTCACTGCCGTTGAGTTGCTTCCTACTCATAGCAACCCCTCCTTGGGTTTCTGAGGTGGTATCTTTATGGAAATAGATTGCCCAGTCTTCCTTCCAAGGAGTGGCTGGTAGATTTGAACTGCCAGCTTTCTGGTTAGCAGTCAAATGCCTTAGGCGCTACACCACCAGAGCTCCTAACAGAGTAAGTAACAGAGGAAAACACAAGAAACAGAAAACTTGGGTTCTATTCCATCCTGATATAAATATGAATGTATTTTTCCTCCTGGCAAGGAAAATATGATCTTAGGTAATAATTGCCCACTTCAATTAAATTTTTCATAATCTTTCTCCCTTATGTAATACAAAGCAACATAAGCTCCTTTCATTCCAGGAACTGTCCCCCAGGCTACCTTCTAGTGTCATCTGTGTGTTTAAGAGTCAGGCAGAGCTTTGCAAGGAGCATAAAGGTACCCACCTGCATTGATGCAGACAGAAATCAGGTCTGGAGGGGATGGTTGTTTCAGGAGTCCCGACCCTTAAAAGCAGAACCTGCATAGGACACTCATTCATGTATCTATGAAGACAGCGGCCTAAGCAGGAAGAGTTTGGATCTTTGAAATACTGTGAAGTCATTTTTGTCTAAGTTCTACAGAATCAAACTCAAGCATCAGGAAGGTATACAACACCCTGTGAGCCTGCTTCTGACCCTCCTCCCCTTCAGCTTCATCTCCTGGGGCTGCCACACTCACATTTCTGCTCCAGTCCCATCAAACCTCCTCTGTGTCCATAACCCCTCTCTGCTTCTTTTGCATATGGTGCCCATTCCCCAGCCTACCAATTTCCCAAACTAATAACCAAACCAGTTGCTGTTGAGTCGATTCTGACTCATGGAGACCCATGGTATGTCAGAGTAGAACTGTACTCTACAAGGTTTTCAATGGCTGATTTTTCAGAAGTACATCAGCAGGCCTTCATTCCAAGTTACCTCTGGGTAGACTAGAACCTCCAAACCTTTGGTTAGCAGAAAAGGGCATTAACCATTTGCACCACCCAGGCCTTCTCCAGTTTAAGAACCCAGGTGAATTCCAGACCATCTACCTAAGCCCTGCCTGTTAGATATCTATCTCCCTGGTGTGCCACAGGCACCCTAAGCTCAGTTTGCCCTGTATGGACTATTTACTCCTTCTGCCTTCTGAAACCAGACTCTCCTCCTATACTCTCATGCAATAAGTGGCTTCTAATCCTCCATCACCCAAGCCAGAAAGCAAGCCAGCATCTAGATTCCACCCTCTCTCCTACCCTCATAGTCCACTTAGGGTTTGCTGATTTTATATCAAATTATGTCTTAAAATTATCTCCGTTCCTGACACTCTGGTCCAGGTCTTCATTAGCTCTCATGTGGATACAATAAAAAGTTCCCCAATGGGGTTCCTCAATTTCCACCTAACATCCTTCAGTATTCTTTTTGAAAAAGAACAGATCTGTTTATACCATTGTCTGCTTACAATTCTTTACTGACAAGCTGTTGCCTGCATATAAAATCCAAATTCCTTCCCATGCTATCCAAAGCCCTTTGCAATCTAATCAAAAAGACAAGAACTAACTATATGCTGTCTATAAGAGACACATCTTAGGCCCAAGGTCACAAATAGGTTCAAAGTGAAAAGATAGAAAAAATAATAACCAAAAATGAGCATGGATGGAAATTTTAATATCAGATAAAATAGTCAAAATCTGTTATAAGAGATAAAGAAGGGCATTATACAATGATAAACGTGTCAATTTATCAAGAAGATATAACAATTATAAGTACAAGTGTACCTAACATTATGGCACCTGAATATATAAAGAAAACACTGAAATAATTGAAGGAAAAAATAGACAGCTCTACAATAATAACTGGAAACTTCGTTACAACCTAGCCCAAGCTAATCTTTGCAAGCAGACTTGTAAGGCTGGCATGCAGAACCCACTTTAGGCAAGGATGGTAGAGTTGGCATGAGTGGCCAGGCAGAAACAGAAACTAGCTGTCAGTTTGGAATCCATGGGTCAGGACAGCTAGAGATATGGACAATCTAGACTGGCAAGCTGACCACCACCTCTCTGGGCTAACACATATATAAGCACTACCTGGGAATGATAGCTGGTCCCAGACAGGAGCTATCTGCCTTCTGCTTTGATGAAACAGCCTCCCTGGAGTGGCTGGATGAAGGTGGACCTGGGAGGGCTACTTTAGGAACAAGGCCCACACCAATTCTGGAAGTAGAGGAGAGGACCAGATCTTCCTGGGAGGATGACCCCACTGCTCTTACTTGTCCAGCAGATCCCACAAGATACCCTCACTGCTAACTCCATCACTTATCACCCCTGTAGGAGCCCTGCCCTCATTGGCTGCTTCATTGTGGATCGGCAATACTTCCAGGAGATCGGCTTACTGGATGAAGGCATGGAAGTCTATGGAGGAGAGAATGTCGAGCTTGGGATCAGGGTGAGCGGGGTTTCTTGTGGAAAGGGCTTGGCTCAGCTTCCAAACAGGTGAATGAAGGGGATGGGAAAATGAGGCTCAAGGTTCAGGAGCACAGCCTGATTCTAAATGTCCAGTGTCTAACCCTGCTCCATGTATGTGTAGAATTTTCAGAAAGAAGAGGACTTGCTTGGCTGAGAGTGAGGTCATGGGAAAGTTGAGCCCCCAATTCAAGGGAAGAACTTTTTGTTAAAACCAAACATAGACCCTTCAAAAGTGAGCAAAAATGTGCTACAGGAAGAGACTGCAGGCACCTTGGGGTGGCTGGAAAAGGGATGGCCCCTGTTCCATGACCCTTAGAGAGTCATTTCCCCTTGGGATTTCTCATTAGATATTCTCTGTCTCCTCCTCAGTGTCCCATAAAGCTTACATAACTCATGGTGCACCAACAGCAAAACATATCCAGGTTCACACAATGCTGGTTTCTGAGCCTAGGGGCCTATTCTGCCTTACAACATTCTTCTGAGATAGCCACCATCCTGCTCCAAAGTATAGAGCTGTTTTCTAGTTTTTCTCAGCTCATGGTGTGAATCCACACAATAGGCATCATTTTGTTTCTCACCTATAGGAACATCTCCTAGACTCTCTGGCCCCTTTCCTTGGGCCCAAGAAAGATAAATCCAAATGATAAATGATGATTGTTAAGAATGTGATTGTGGATACAGTGAATGCCGTTGTCCTAGTGGGAAGCCACCCTATGTCCAAGGAGTGACTATGTCCTCATGACAAACCCAACATTTGAGCTGTGGCTTGTCCCCATGATGGTACCTTCTGTTTTCTCCCCGGGAATCTTTAAGCAGCTGGCATCCATGCATTACAGGCTTGCCAACCCTTTGAGAGGATCTTGAACCCACAGGTGTTCATGACAATCACACAAGATGTTCCTACTCAATGTCAAGCTCTTCACACCTCCATGCAGACTTCACCCAACATTTGGCTGGTAATGACCTTATTCTTGCCCCCTTTGCTTAATGTCTATATCTGGTCATCTCTAGTTCCTGATATTCAGTTCCACTCAAGGACTCTAGCTTGAGTATAGTCTCTTCTCAATTCTAACCTCCTTAGGTGGCAGTCCACTGGCTGTGGAAAGCCACAGCCACTACCTGAAAGAGAAACTGGGCACATGCAACTAGCATCTCACAATGCCTGCGGTGACCTGACAGTAATATGTGGGGCCTGACTCACCTCCTAGACTTAATACTGGGGCTTTCAGGACTGACAGCAGGAACAGCATGTCTGAAACTGAGTTTAGCAAACACTTCCAGACACCTATATTCACTGAAACCTGGAGAAATTGCTTTGGAAGCAGTCAAAATGCAGGGGCTTATTGGGGAGCTAATATATTCATAGAGGACAGCGCCTGCATAAGCACCCTCATTTCTCCGGCTCTCCCTACACCGGTCATTTATTCACCATTTGAGTCCTCACCGTCTCATTTCCGCACTGCTCCTGGATAAATGCTCAGCCCGAAACATAATATTTTTTACTAGGAGCTGCTGTGGGGAATTGGCTGAGCAGGAAGGACTGCCTCCCACCCCTTGTGCTCTCTGAGTAAAAATGTCTGGGAGTAGAAAAAGGAATTAGATTTGTGAACTCTGCTTCCAACATGTATGTGAGTCAATCATACTGTGGTGGAAGATTTCTGACCTTTCTTTCTCTAGATTATAAAGCTACTCTGGAGTGTGGGCCTGGATGAGGCTCTCAAATACCTGTTAGCATCTCTCAGGTGATTTTGCATTTGAGACAGAAAATATCATATAAAATGTTGCCTGACTTTTTTTTCTCTCCATCTCTTCCCTCCCACTTGGCAGAGATGAGTGTCATGGGAGCAGAAGAAATGCTGATTCTTGGGACCCAACAACCTGTTGGCTGTTGTTGTTATTGTTGTGGTGGTGGAATGCCATTGAGTTGATTCTGACTCAGTGACCCAGTGTGATGGAGTACGACTGACCCATAAGGTTTTCTAGGCTATAATTTTTACAAAAACACTTCACTGGCTCTTTCTTCCATAGATTGGCTGAGTGGGTTTTAACCACAACCTTTCAGTTAGCAGCCAAGAGCTTAACCGTTGTGCCATCAGGGCTCCTTGTTGGCTGGTAGAACTGAGGAAAAGAGGGGGAAAAAACAATTTGCCATCAAGTTGATTCTGACTCGTGGTGACCCCGTGTGTATCAGGTTAGAACTGTGTTCTCTAAGACTGATTTTTTTGAAGTAGATCTGTAGGCCTTTATTCCAACATGCCTCTGCATGGACTCAACCCTCCAACCTTTTGGTTAGCAGCCAAGCTCATTAACTATTTGTACCAGAAAAGAAAGAGAAGGGTACTTAATTTGAATTCCAGTTGCCCTTTCAAGAGATACAAAACTACTGATTGTCCTCAAAATAGATTTCCACATATTATGTGGTTAATACTGTTCGTCTTTCACATTTTAAGAGATAACATTTCAGTGCCTCAGTTTCCTCATCTGTAAAATGGGTTGCTATGTTGCTTTTAGCTGCCATCAGTTGGCCTCCAACGCGTGGTGATCCCCCTCACACAATGGAATGAGACACTGCCTGCTTCTGTACCATTGTGACCCGTAGGATTTTCACTGGCTGATTTTCAGAAGTAGATCTTCAGGCCTTTCTTCTTAATCTGTCTTAGGTCTGGAAGCTCCACTGAAACCTGTTTAGTATCATAGCAACACACAGGACTCCAATAATGGAAAAGTGGTGGTACATGAGGTACATTGGCTGGGAATTGAACCCATGCCTCCTGCATGGAAGTCTAGAATTCTACCACTGAGGCACCACTGCTCTCATAACAATTTATTAAACAAAACAAAACTTGTTGCTGTCGTGTTGATTCCAACTCATAGTGACCCTGTAAGACAGAGGAGGACTGCCCCATAGGGTTTCCAAGGCTATAAATCTTTATGGGAGCAGACAGCTACATCTTTCTCCTGTGGAATGGCTAGTGGGTTCGAACTGCCCACAATTTGGTTAGCATCCAAGCACTTAACCACTGTGCTACCAAACCAAAAAAAAAGAACCAAACGCAATGCCATCAAGTTGGATTCAACTCATAGTGACCCCTCCTTGGGTTTCTGAAGCAATATCACTACGGAAGTAGATTGCCTAACCTTCCTTCTGAGGAGTAGCTGACAGGCTTGAACCGCAAGCCTTCTGGTTAGCAGTCATATTATGCCACCAGAGCTCCTACTGTGCTATTAGTGGCTGCAAAATGGTAATATTTTAATTTTATTTTTTCAAGTTATCTGAGATAACTTTTATAAAGAGACAATTACAATCATTAACTCTGGTTGTTCTAAAGCCAAAGTTTATTTGGGAAAGTCAGGATAAATAATTCTTTATATAACACCTTTCAAAATGATGAATGAATGAACTACCTTCCAAAGGTGGCCCATTAAGTTTTTTAGTATCATTATAAGTTTACAGATCTAAATATATTTGATATATTTCAATTCATTGCTTAACATCCTTATTGATTTGCAAATGTTCTACTTTTGGCCACTGGGAGCCTATTCACATTGGCTCCTGAGTCTTTTTTTTGACTCTTGGACGGTTTCTCTGCTATCAGGGCTGTCCAGGCTCATCTTGTACATTTCCTGGTTCAGTCCTATCATCAGCCATTTCCCTAAGGCTCTCAGTTTTCTTTTGTTGAGAAATTGTGTTTAAAACCACAGTCTGCAGACTAGAGGTGCTCATTGCTATTGCATTGGTCATTATTTCTAGGTCTTTTCAGTGTTCAGAACTAGAAATTATTAACATTTTTGTAGAAATAAAATACTCCAGCGTTTTTGCTGATCTTTCCGATTCAAATTTAGGACTACAGGGTTTTTATTTAATCTCATCAATTTCACATCTGTATTTCCTTTCTCCCATGCCAAGAATTCTGGTTTTTTAAATGGCACCAACATAATTACTCATTTACTTTATTCCCTGGAACATGCACAACAATTTCAAAATACCAGTAACAGCAGTACCACCACCATATGATCATATGTAATTACTAACTAACCTGTTGCCATCACGTCAATTCTGACTCATAGCAGCTTACAGGACAGAGTAGAACTTCCTGATAGGGTTTCCAAGATGGTAATCTTTATGGAATAAACTGCCTCATTTTTCTCCTGCAGAATGGCTGGTGAATTTATACCACTCACCTTTCCATTAGCAGCCAAGCACTTAACCACTGTACCACCAGGGGTCCTATGTAATTACTGGAGATAGTCCAATTATCTATCTATCTATCTATCTATATCTATTTATTTTTGCATCTCTTTTGATTTTTGGTTATACCACATTACAGATGTATGGTCAAATTGTTATTGTTATGTGCTGTCAAGTCGTCTCCGACGCATAGCGACCCCCTCTTGGGTTTCCAAGGCAGTATCACTAGCTTGGGCAATCCTACTTCTGTAGTGATACTGCCTTGGAAACCCAAGGAGGGGTCGCTATGAGTCGGGGCCGACTCGACGGCAAACAACAACATCACTATGGAAGTAGATTGCCCAACCTTCCTTCTGAGGAGTGGCTGGTGGGTTTGAACTGCCAATCTTCTGGTTAGCAGTCAAGTGCGTTAGGCACTACGCCACCAGAGCTCCCTTCAAACCCACCAGCCACTCCTTGGAATGAAGGTTGAGCAGTCTACTTCCATAGTGATACTGCCTCGGAAACCCAAGAAGGGGTCGCTATGAGTCGTAGACGACTCGACGGCAGTGAGTTTGGGTTTTTCTTTGGTTAAAATAGTTCCACTCTGTGTGATTATCCTACAGCCTCATAGACAGGTTCATTTCTTTCATTTTGCTTTTGAATTTTAAGAATTTCCTTTTTATGGTTAACCATTTATAATTATTTAAATATTTACATAGCGCCAAAGTCAAATCTTCAACACAAGGCACCATCACCATCCTCTCCATCCTATAGCCTCACTACCTCTAAGGTTAACATATTTTGTGTGT